GACTTAGTGAATGCAGTTGTTCTGAAACAAGTCTTTCAACTGGAAATTCCAGTAGAGATAACTTTCAACCAGTAATACAAAGCTAAAAATATTATTTATATTTTAAATTGCGTCGCCAAATATTCAAAGCCCAAAACAGGACTTTTTCAAGTCATTCCGCCCCCCAATGGTCACTGGAGTGACCAAACAAAAAATGTTCACATCTTCTCTGCAGAAAAGTACCACTTTTCCCAGTAAGTTTTTTCTTTTTTAGGGTTGTATAAACGTTTTCTGTATCTCAAACGAGAATTTCGTCAAAACAATCACCAATATTAATACATGTTTACCGTCTCTTGAGTACGTTTTATCTGTCATATGTTGATGGGATATAGAATCCACGAGTATTCGCTTGAATCAGATGCATTTTTACGACCAATACTCGCCGGATTACGATCAAACCGAACTCCGATGATTTTCACTTATGAAATACCCAATATTAAACGAGCACGTGAGTGAAAGAACACAGAGAATTGTCAGATAGAATTAATTTACAGCAGAGATGTAAATTTTCATTTTAATGATCTAATAGAACGAAAATTTTCAAAGCTGCTGTTACAGCAGTGAGAAAATCCGAAATTCTAGGGATTTCTGGCGGAATTCCAGCGCTTACAACTCCGGGTAAACAATCCAATTCCGGAGTTCCTTAAAACATTTCGGAATTCCTACTGCTACAAACTACGTGAAGAATTAGGAATTCCTGAACTACTTTCCAATTTCCATTCTTCAATCATGCCACAGAAAATAGAACACTGAAATTCCAAATCAATTCGACTAGAAAATCGGGAATTCCTACGAGAGCGAGTGAATATCAATTGGAAATTCCGAAATTTCAGATCAATTCGGGGGGGGGGGAGATGAAAGTAGGCCACGACAATGGAAGTGATCAGGAATTCCGCAGTTGCAAATTCAATTAGAAAAATTAGATTGAACAGAAAAGTCTTTTTCCTGCTGAAACATTTTCGATTTTGTAGCGAAATTGATTTGGAATTATAGTGTTTTGCTTCCTGTAGTACGAGTGGGGAATGAAGCAATTCCTAATTCTTCACGTAGTTTGTAGTGGTAGAAATTCAAAAACCGGATCGTTTCATCTGTAAATTTACGGAAGAAACGATAATATCACCCGAATTAGGTATCGCTTATCGACAAAAACGTATTTCTTAAACAGTTTTCCTAGCTCAGTGCAGTATTCTAGGTAAAATACAATGGGGATGCGGTATTCGTCCGGAGATGGTACGCGATGCTGATAATCCTAGATATTGGGTTAATAGTTCTTATTGTTCGATTTATCTCCATTTGAAAAACCCTAAGCAGCCACAAGTATTAGATGATGCAGAATATGATGACATCGATTGTAATGTGTCTCGGTCAGTAAATCATCTACAAGCTTCGTGTCTAGTTCGAAACTCAATTGATTTCTGTAGATTGGATCGATATTCGAGTCGGTCGACTTCTTATGGCGTCATATTGACAATATATAATTACGGTATTATTATAAGCTTTCATGAGCTCTATAAATCGGAGGCACCGCTATAGAGACCTGCAACCCGACCCTAGGGCCGGGTCGGGTTCGGGTTAAGATCTTGTCGGATCGGGTCGGGTTGGGTTCGGGTTGAATATTGGCGACGCAATTTAAAATATAAATAATATTTTTAGCTTTGTATTACTGGTTGAAAGTTATCTCTACTGGAATTTCCAGTTGAAAGACTTGTTTCAGAACAACTGCATTCACTAAGTCGATTAATGATTGCTTTCTTTGCACATAAGAGAGTGCTTCCTGCACTGAAATTAATGGCAATACATCCCTTACTGCTTTTTTTCAATGTACTGTTTTAAACACCCGTACATAGAAGACTTTACTATAATGCTCTCTACTTGCTATCTTAGTATTAGGTGATACTGACTGACCAATGAGAAAAAGAATGTGGTTATCATCTCGGTTAAGATAATGTATTGATAAAGTGCACTGAGGAATTTTCAATAGATTAACCTTTTAGACAAAATGGCCAATCAGAAGTCGTTCAAAAATTTTTTTTGAACTACGAGATTCTACAATATGCACCGAAAAACTTTTGTCTAACAAGACAAGTCTATATTCTTTTTCAAACACAGTTTTCTGTTGAGATTGTTTTCATCGGGTCGGGTCGGGTCGGGTCGGGTCGGGCCGGGTTCGGGTTCAGATGTTGTCGGGCCGGGTCGGGTACGAGTCGGCATTTTGGCAGTTGGGTCGGGTTCGGGTTAGGTTTTCTTAACCCGTACAGGTCTCTACACCGCTGTACTACATCACTTACTTTCGACAATTGAACGCTTCACACCAACATCGTGAGTTATTTTAATTACCGAGTGAAACGAGCTGGCGTAATTGCTTTACACGCACTTTCGCTATTCAGGTCCTTGCCAAAATATCTAATTTATGACAACGCATGTGGTTTGTTTCTAACGTTCAACAGCCGCATTAAAGCAGGCAAAATAACCAAGACATCACGAACTGATGCACTGTGAATACTTCTTTAGTCACCATTCCACGTTGCCACCCTTCCACTACTAATTAATGTTCTAGATCAAAATTAACCTTTATTGTGGACAAATTTCATATCAGCAACCACCGCCCGAAAAATGTGTCGAACACAAACCAATCCATACAAATACGATGAAGTCAAACATATAAACACTCAAATTTGTGAACAAACAAACTCAAAACTAAACCATTTTCAAAACGCACTATCTTCCTACTCTGCACTCAAAAGTAAAGTCTTCTACCTACTGTTATTCAACCACCTAACCTGTAAAAAAACAAACATTGTCTCTATATCACACCACCCGACCATGATAAATACTGAACATAAACAATTTTATTAAATAAATTTCCGTTGCAGTGCCAATAAAAAATTTGTAACACAGCCAAAAATCAAAAACTCCTCAAACCCCTCAACTAAACGGAGATCACACACACGCAGAGAACACGGACACCGTAATACAGCAAAATCCTCATATCCCTCAACTAAATACAAAATACAGATGAGAGTACGGTACGGATGCCGTAATACAGCAAAACCCTCAAAATCCTCATGTACGTCAACTATAAAGAAGAGATACAGAAGGAGAGTGGGATACGGATACCGTAATATATGAAATGCATGAAAATCTGGTATGTTGGAAAAAATATAGTAGTGTCGTATCACGTTTTTTCTGTTTCGAAACGAGGATACGGACCGTATCAGGATTATGACATCCCTCGGCAAAAGAATTGCTTGGGAAAGTCAATGAGATATTCAAGTGCTCGAGGTAAGAATTTCATGCGTCTGAGTTTCTTGAGATATGAAACTGAAGCGCATGAGTCACACAAGTGCACAAAAAAAATGCGTTTTACATGAGTAAGAAATGTCTCCACGCCATGAAATTCTTACTCAATAAATTCAAGAAAATCATGTGCTTGAGAAAAGAAGCTTCACCAGGGTAGCGAATCAATATTAATTAACCTGCAGACTGTTAGTAACAACTACAGAATACTATGCTTAAATTATTCTTAAAAAAATAATGCATGTAATATGTTAGAATGATATTTTTGATCGATGTTCTTGGGGCTACGTTAATTTCCTTCAGATGTTTAAGACGTTGAAATCTATTCCAATCGTACACTGTATTTCCTAATTAATCTCATTAAAAATTTCTCATCTCTTCAACAGTATCTGTATCGTATTCGCTTGTGAATTGATCCAAATTCTTCTTAATCACATTTTTCAGATAGTCCGGAGATCATTTCGAAAGTGTCAAAGGTTTTCATATTATTATGTGAAGGTATTATGTCAAGGTTTAAGCGCAGAAATCAATGAATTCATGTCGGAAAGTAGTCACAAGATTCTCCATGTTGGATTAGCTATAATCTGAAACTTGCATCGATCGACTATAATTTTTATTCGTAGTGACATGTTCTTTGGTGCAGAGGACCGGCAGTTACTTATTTCAAATAACTAATTTTTAGCAGCATCTGTTTTTTCATTACTGCAGAGTCTCTCAGATAGGATGGCAACAGCTAGGGTCTTTGATAATTTATATGTACAAACAAAAAAGTATTTTTAACATTGACAACTATTTGTTCAACCCGACATGGTTTAATTAAACCAAATGTTAGTTCAAATGTTAACATTAAAATGTCGTAAACAGGCTCGTCTATGGAAGATCTACCAGTAACATTTTATTTTTCAGATGACATCGCCCTTAGTACCGTTAACGAACAAAGATGACAGGATCATCCTAGGATTACAGTAGGAAAATATGTGCTGTAATTTGCCGATGACAAAGTACAACCATCCTTGAAATGTCCTCCAAGTCCCCACAAAACATCTGAAAAGTGAATATATTTTGCAGACAAAATATAAATGAAAATAGAAGAAATTTGAACACCAATATCCATTGCTATTGAAAACAAAAGTGCGTAACGTTCCCACCACCATTTTGGTATAACAGTATTAAATAAAAAACCAATAATAAACCACGTCAGATATTTTCCAGTTGGCGGTACATTGCTGCCTATAGAAAGCATAATTGAAATGTGTATACAACGTAAACATTTGATATACGGATATTTTCTGTTGAGAATCCAAAATGGTATGGGTAATAAAGCACCAATGAAAACTAGCCACAGCATTTTAGCTGTTATCAACTCTAGATCAATAAGCTTTGAAACACCTATAATATAGATAGACAAATATACAAGACGTTATTTTAAGACAAAACATATTACTGACCTATCGGTCCTAACTGAAATGTTTGTATACCGAAGATAACACATCCTTCGGCAACAGCTTGAAAGGCAAAATCACTGAATGTCACTAAAAATAAAACATTTTCAAAGATGAAATTTTTGAAGCCTACAGATGAAAGTGTGAAAATCCGCTGAATCTTGAGCAAGCTGACTCTTAGAAAGTTTCGCATCTTGATCAGGGTAGAGTGATAAAAGTGTGAGTAACGTTCAGTCCATAGTGCATTTTTTTTGACTCTTTATTATTTCTGGATTCTGCCTTTCGAGGGTCTTTCATTCAGCAATGATTATAACTTATTCCACCTGAACAGAGAGCATTTGCGTTATCAGAAATCAATTAAGAATTGTCACAAGATATCTTATGATGACTGATATACTGATCATGGATAATTGAGTCATAAATAGAGTACGCGATGGTATTTTCGTATAATGTCCAAATTTTCTATTACGAATTAAAGACAACGATCCTATTTGCATTTGATAAGCATAACCATAAATGTCATTACACCGACTGGATTGTTATTCTTACAGTGGCAAAAATCTGATGAGAATGTTCGCGCTCGTATTTTCTTAATAAAATCTTCAATCAATCAAAATCAATCGTAATCTTCTTACAAATTCATATTTTAGAATGTATCTGTTTTAATCAATTAAAAAGTATCTCTTTTGAGAAACGAATATTTTGGCTAGAAATTGCGTTTCTCAAAAGAAATATATTATTTCTCATTTCTATATTCCAAATAAAAATGAAATTAAATAAGAGGTAGAAGCAATCAAGATAACTGGTAATTACTACTCATATTTAAAAAAAATTATTTTTCAAAAAGAACTTAATTTGTCAGCTGTAGTTTCAAAATGTTTATAAATAATACTGCTCAAAGCAATGTAGTCTCACTCTTCAAAAAATTATCATGGATTCTGTACGAAAGTGAAGTTAAAAAGGCGCTTCTGCCATATTGTTCGAAAACAATGTTTTTCGACGTCAAGGTATAAATAAAAACATTTATTTGGAAGTGTTTAAGAAAACTCGTGCTTGAGATATTAGCACGGATGAGGATGAATACAGTCAAGATCAAAATTACAAACAGCTGACAAATCAACTTCTTTTTGAAGAATAATTTTTTTTTAAATATGAGTGGTAATTACCACTTATCTTGATTGCTTCTACTTCTTATTTAATTTCATTTTTATTTGGAATATAGAAATGATAGATAATATATCTCTTTTGAGAAGCTACGAGCGCGAACTAGATTTTTGTCACTAAATTATCTCCACTCCTGTTGATTCTGCTGGCTTTCTAGCGATATACCAATTATCCAATTCGAAGAAGTGTCAAAAAATAAAGGAATGAACGGAAAGGAGTATATGATTATACAGATAAAAGTTTATTTTTTCAGTTGCCCTTTTTCCCGACTGCTCTTAAATGAATGGTCAGATCTCATCGCAACACATCCTCAAGTAAGCGTTAGACAAAAGTCTGAGACATTTCGGAAGGAGTTAAAAAACATTGTACTTCCATCTACCAACAAATTACCGTGGATATTACATCGCCGAGCTGATGCACTATTTTACCGCTTAAGAGTGGATTTCTCCGCACTTAATTTCCATCTCAGACACCATAAACTTGTTTCTGAAAATTTCTGCGAAAGCTGTTTCTCTCTGTCTCTATCAATAAAGGTTGTGGAAAATCCCAAACACTATCTCTTGAAATGTTCAAAGTACGATCGAGATTGAGCAATTCTGGCTGTTAAGCTGGGTAAGCTAGGTCATAGTCTTGATACTGATACCCTTCTACTTAGAACACATTTATCCCACAATCTCTTGATATCTGTGTACCAGTCTGTAGGTGATTTTATTACTGCCAGTAAACGTTTCTAATAGACTACGTCCTCTACTTTTTTACTTTTATAGATTTAACTGATCCACCCCCTCGTTTCTAAAATGCCAATATCAGGTGATTTTCTCCTATTGACACAGTTTCCTGCATCTATTCTTATTGCTCTCATTAGAACACTAGCAAATAAGGAGATATCTCTTGTCACGTTAGGCATCTCGTGTGTGAGCATTTTTTCGTCTCAGCGCGTCGACTGAAACGAAAAAGAACAGAACGATATGCATGCGTGAAAAGAGATATCTTCTTATTTACTAATGCCTTATTTTATTTTGTGTAAGTCTAACGTTGTTTCTTTTCTTTTTATTTTATGGGGATGTTCTTTTTTGTTCTGTTTAAAGATTCCTCTCAGGAGATACAACGTAGCCCTTAGGACTACGATTTCACTTGATTGGCCTTCGTTTCTTGTTCATTTTGATTTCTTTAAATAAAAAGCGTAAATGAAGAGAACAATCAGACAAAGTGTCAATATCACAACGGAAGAAACGAACCTATCCCTCTTGATTATTACGACTAATGGCTTATTATTTTGATCTGACTTTTGATTTTTTCCAGAGCACTTTCTTTGCTCGACTCCTATTGCCCAGAT